TACAAAACGTTAGGAACTTGGAAAATAAATGTTAATGACGCAGCAATCTAGTTGTGATGGTTGGTACTTCAATGTCCGATATCGTCTGACTTGCTCAACACCACAGACCCGAACTGGCGACTGCTACTACTACTTATTACTTATTATCTGTGGGAGAGTCCATTACAATAGAATAGGTAATATGGCATGACACTCACCAAAGATGGACACTCTACAACAGTGATCAAGACCAAACTGGTTATGACACAATCAACAATGGCAAAACTCAGTAAGATTTAGAAGAGTAAAAACATCAACCAAGATGAAGCCCTACAAGTCCTCGATGTGTCTATACTGCTCTATGGATGTGAAAGTTGGGCTCTGATAACAGAAACCATCAAGAAATTCGAACATTTGAAACGAAATGCTTCAGACGCCTTCTGCGTATCACCTGGAGAGAACACATGACAAATGACTTTGTACGGAGCCAAGTAACGCAACTGGTATGTCTACAGAACCCTCACGGTAGCAAGTTAAGAGGAGAAAGCTGTTGTGGTTTGAATACGTAATACGCTACTATACTCTATCTAAGACGGTCATTGAAGGTACCTTGGAAGGGAGTAGACGCAGTAAGTAGACGCTACAAGGGAGTAGACGCTACAAGGGAGTTGACGCTACAAGTCTTTGGTGCTGTCCACACTGATTTATGGACGTGAAAGCTGGATTCTGATAGCAGAAACAACCAAGGGAGTCCAAAAGTTGGATGGACAACATCAAAGAACAGACCAGGTTTGACACTCCAACTTTGTACAGGGCCAACTAACACAACTGGAGTCCCTCTTGACAAAAGTAAAGACGGGAAAGCTGATGTGGTTTGGAAATGTCATACGCCACAATACTCTACTCAAGAAGCTCCTCACGGTACCTTGGAAGTTGGTAGAGGTAGACGTAGTCCAAAAGCTTGATGGACAACATCAAGAAATGGACCAGGATGGACACTCCGACGTTATTTCGTGACGTAGGAAAAAGATCTGGTTGGTAGCGGCAGGTTGTATCATTGTCGTTCATGTCGTTTCTACCATCGGCTCGATCAAGAAGATGCACGACTTATAAATACACAGGCATGTACAAACGTTTAAGACCATCTGACCAAGAAAATTTTTTTTTTAATTTTCAGGCTTGTGATTGCATCAAATAATGTTTATGATTGCATCATCCTATATGACACCAACCTCATCAGCTCTGTTAACAAATTAGTCCAGTTTTTCCAAGTTTTCCTGTGTTTTGTATATCAAAAATAGGGGTGGGAGAAGCCAGTTTGTCGGAAATACAAATTTGGATTTGCAAGAAAATGTCTTGTACAAAACGGCTACTTAATATTAAGTTCTTTGATTTTAGTTTCAATGTTATATGTATAAACTTCCAGTGGCAGTCATTCTTTTTTTATGTTTAAACGAGTCGTCTAACATTAAATATCCCGATGTTAAAAACTTTATATGCAGTTGGAGGCGTCTACTATCTTATACATGAAATCTGTAAATGGCGAGGATACACGACTTGTATATACTTGTGTGCAAAAGTTTAAGTCCACCTAATCAAGGAAATGTATTTTTTATAATTTCCAGGCTATATTTATGACAGCATCATCCTATATGACATCATCCTCACCCACCATGTTAACAAATCAATGCTCAGTGAGTAAATTGTCTTCGAAAATTAGTCCATTTTTTTCAAGTGTTTTGAATGTCAAAAAATGGGGTAAAATGCCAACTTGTCGAAAATACGCTACAATACTCTACCCAAGACGGTCTTTCCAGGTACCTTGGAAATGGGTAGACGTTGTTGGGAGGTAGTCTAAAAATTGGATGGACAACATCAAAGAATTGACCCGGTTGAACACTACGAAGCTGTTCCGTGAGGCAGAAAAAAGATCTGGTTGCAGCATCGTCGCTTCTTCCATCGGCTCAGTCATAAGAAAACAAGAAGTCTGGAAGCGGCGCGGATGCGACTTATATATATACACATTCATGTGAAAACGTTTAAGACCATCTAAGAATTTTTTTATATGTTTTTAAGAGGAGTCCAGCTGTCTTCTTCAAGAAAGCACTGACCCTAATCGGCAAAATTAACAATCCAATGCTCAGTGAGTGCAATGACTTCGAAAATTAGTCTACTTTTTTCAAGTTTTCCAGTGTTTTGAATGTCAAAAAATGGGAGAAAAACCAGTTTTTCGGAAATCCAAAGAGCACAAATTTTGATTTTACACAAGAAAGTACTTTCTGAAAGGAAGATTTGCAGACTTGTTATAGCAACATCGGCAATGGCAAAACTCAGTAAGATTTGAAAGAGGAAAAACATTAATGAATCGCTACAAGTCTTTGGTGCTGTCCACACTGATTTATGGACGTGAAAGCTGGATTCTGGTAGCAGAAACAACCAAGGGAGCCCAAACATTTCAAACGATATGCCTTAGACGCCTTCTCGGGATCTTCTGGAGCGAACACAAGACAAATGACTTTGTACAGGGCCAAGTAACAGAATCGACGGAAACCAGGAGTACCTCTTGGCAACAATAACGAGGAGAAAGCTGTTGTGGCCTGAACATGGCATGCGCCACAATACTCTACCCAAGACAGTCTTTCAAGGTACCTTGGAAATGGCTAGGCGTATGGGAATGCAGTCAAAAATCTGGATGGACAACATCAAAGAATGGACCAAGATGGACGTTGTTTCCTGAGACAGAAAAAGGATCTAGTTGGCGGCAGTTGGCTGCATCATCGTCGCTAAAGTCTCCTCTACGATCGCCTCTTGGTCATGAGATAAAGTGAAAAATATATACGACCTCCATTTTTAAAAGTTTTAAACTTTTTTTTAGGAGAGGCATTTATAACTTGCCTAGATTAGTGTAATTATAGAATATTATTTCTATATCCCAGATAAGCTGACCCTACAAATTTTGTTATTCCAGATTAAAAAAAGACGGCTGTAACAGCTCATTGTACACACTCTACTAATCCCTGCTTGTCACATCCGATATGTTTGCTGGATGAAGTCGTGATGTGAAGACAATTTGGAAGCTCGATCAGTTGAGAGAGGTCGGCATCAAAACTGCCCATTACGCTCTCTGCAGTACAGACCTTGCTCCCTGAGTCTCTTTGTTGTTCGACAAGCTCAGGTAGGACCTCAAGGACAGTCATTTTGAGGACATTGTGGATGAAGATGAAGGAGGCTGTGACAAGGAGTGTGCTTAAAGAACCATAACCATATTTTTTGCTGCCCATGAGGAATTCGTTTATCAAGTAATCAACAACTTTCTTTTTGATGATAAGGTATGTTGGTGACACTACGGAGGCTTTAGGAGCGATATTATTCTATAAAGGGCATACACTAGACGCCTTATTGGTCAGAATACATACGATGTTGTCCAACAAAAGAGTTAGCTAGACTCAAGTTGAAATAAAATCGATGACAGCGCCAGTTGAAGAAAATCATTTTTTTTTTCAAAAACGACATCGGACCAATCTTCAGAAACGCCAACATACAGAAAGTCTATTCCGGGAACTGCTCAAAATTTAAACAAACATCTCCTGAAGAAGACCAGCGCGTACAGCGGCTGAAACGTTGTGAATGTGACAATAAAGATGAGGACATCAGTTCAAGCAATGTAAACAGTGTAAGATGTAAAAATGTTAGTTAAAAAAAATGCAAAACTAAGATCATTACTTTTGGCTATAAATACATACCATACTTTATACACACACACACACACACACACACACACACACACACACACACACACACATATATATATATATATATATAGAGAGAGAGAGAGATAGATAGATAGATAGATAGATAGATAGATAGATAGATAGATAATATTAGTGGTCAATATACACATACATATGCAAAATATATAAATATATATATATAGGTGCATACACATACATGTATATTTTTTTAATAACAAATTCCAAGAGGATAGAATCCAGGTAGAACTCAATATCCAGGACAGAGTAAGGATATAATAAAAAGGCTTAAACACTAATATTCCATGGTCATAATTTATTCCATTGGAATCGTAAATACGATCCAATTCATCAGACCTACAAATTCAAAAAGATATGTGATTGCATATGTATGAAAGAATCATAGTGTTTAAGCCTTTTTATTATATTTTTTTATATATATATATATATATATATATATATATATATATATATATATATGCAACCGTAAGTATAAAATTATGCATGTATATAAAGAATAAAGACAAAAGCAAGACTTTTCTTTAACAACGCATTTCCTTGACTGATGAAGTTTATCAAGACAAAGGTGCTGATTTTATTTTGCAGCTAAATATTTCTAAACAAAAATAAAATATTAAATTGAATAGACGCTCCTAAATATTCATCAGGTCAATTGAAAATATATTTATATATATTATAAGAGCCAATATTATTAGGTGGGGATGAACTGTCGAAGTAACAATAGTCATGGTCGGTTAGAAACAGTAATAAAGGAATATATGTCATATTTAAGTCTGTAAATATGCTTGTGTGTATCTGTTTTGTGTGTGCCTGTGTGTCTTTGTGTGGTTGTGTGCGTTCGCGTGTGTTTCATTGCAAAAAAAATAGACAAGAAATTACACATCTTAAAATGTTGTCCTTCAACATGGCTACTGTCTGCAGCAGGAATCACAGTGTCGTGATCAAGTTTAATCAGAAGCAAGACTAAACAACGAAGACCTATCCTGACATATCGAACACACGGATATATATATATATATATATATATATATATATATATATATATATATATATAGCTCTTTCTGTGGCTCGCTTTTCTCATTGCTAATTTCCTTTTTTTATTTTTCCTTTTATTTTTTGTTTTTACTCCAGCTAACATCACCAAAAACATAGACATTATTTCGGCGCAGCTACCCCCTACAAAAAACAGAAACAAAAATAAAACAGATGGAGACGACATGCCCACTGTCTGATTTTCACGGACATTCTAACGATACGTTTTATTTATCTGTCCAAACACTTGCGCGTACGATAGAGTGTGTAAGATGGAGGTGTTGAATTTTTCCTGATTTACTACGATGCCTCGTGTTGTCGTGTCGACAAGCGACACGGACCGATGTCGGTTTAGAAGCGCTGGTCTTGTAATGTGGACAGATTAAAAAACAAAACTTTCTTGATTGGAAACAGGCTTGTTTGTGAGAAGGTAATTGGTTCGATGAAATTAGTGTTCTGCTCATTTTCCTTGATATTTAGTGTGTATTTTTTAATTCTTCATATAATATTTCTTACTTATATTATTTACATTATACAGACTGTTATCCTCATCTTCATTACTATATTTACAACGTTTCGGCCGTTGTACGTTCCGGCCTTTATCTCTAAGTCTCTATATATCTGTCAAGTCTCTGAGATGAGGGCTTATGATTATTTACATTATTTACAATAATCGGACTGTTATTCCAATTTTCAATGCCATATTCACATTGTTTCAGCCTCTATATCTCTGAGATGAGGTATTATGATTACTTACATTATTTACAATAATCTGACTGTTATCCCAATCTTCAATGCCATATTCACAATGTTTCAGCCTCTATATCTCTGAGATGAGGTATTATGATTACTTACATTATTTACAATAATCGGACTGTTATTCCAATCTTAAATGCCATATTCACAATGTTTCGGCCTCTATATCTCTGAGATGAGGTATTATGATTACTTGCATCTTTTAAATTATTCGAAATGTTATCCTCATCTTCATTGCCATATATACAACGTTTAAGGACACATGACCCAGTGGATAAAGGTCCTTTACTGTCGAAGTGGCATGAACTATATTGCCACTTCGACAGTAAAATTTACCAGTAAAATAATTTGTTCATTACCATATTTGGTATAAACGCAAACATTTTAAAAAAAGAAAAAATTCAAAATCAAACTTAGCGTTGCTTTGGGCGCGTTCAAAAACCAATATCTCATTTTCAATAGCATTTCGGATACAATACACATATATTTTCGATGTCCTCTTATTACTAAGAAAAAAAAAACAAGAACAACATCTATTATATACCTGAAGATGTCTGTAGGAACAGACGAAAGCTTGTGTAAAAATAACAACTAATACGGCAGAAATTTATATGAACAAGGATCAATTCATTCATAACGGATCTGAGGTTTTTGTGTAATATTTGAATTGTTTGCGAGATGGATGTCTCGCCATTTAAAATAATTAAACTTTTCATTATTTTTGTGTGAATAATTCATGTATATATATATATATATATATATATATATATAAATTTATTTTAATAAATTTGTTTACAAAATATTAAATGCGTCTGAAGATATCCATACATTCATACATCGATATATATATATATATATATATATATATATATATATATATATATATATATATATATATATAGATAGATAGATAGGAAGGAAGGAATCTTTGTTATAATCCAGCTGAGTCCTATTAACACAACAAAGAATTTGAAATATCTTAAAACTGATTCACAAAGGGCGCTCAGTGTTTATTTTCATTAAACAGAGCAAATATTCTTTACAATATATATATGTATGAATGTATGGATGTCTTTTAACGTATTTAATCTTTGGAGAACAAAATTATTAACAAAACAAATTAATTACATTTTTAAAATAAAATTCAACAACAACATCATTTACTTACTTTCGTTTATTAGACATTAAATTACATCACATAGCATCCTCCATAATTTGCGTAAACTATTCAGACAGCCTGATGAATATTTATGAGCGTTTCTGAAATTTAAAATTTTTGAAAAATAAATAACATTCCTACTTTTCTTTATCAGGACTTGTTGCTTAAATTTGCCTTGATAATCAGTGGATGAAAACGCGTCGGCTAGCATAATCTTTCCATCTCTCTTTATTGATATTGTCTATTTGAAATATATATATATATATATATATATATATATATATATATATATATATATATATATATATATATATATATATATAAAGAAAGAAGAGTAAGATATATAATCCGGTGTTCTTATAGATATTTTATTTTTACAAAATAGTGCTCAATGTAAATTTACAGAGCTGTGTAGCGAAAAAAAATCATATTTTAAATCAATTAATTTATAATATATATATATATATATATATATATATATATATATATATATATATGTGTGTGTGTGTGTGTGAGAGAGAGAGAGAGAGTTTTGTGTTTGTGTGTGCTTGGTGATGAAATGGAACTAATGTCTTTAATTTAATTACAAAATTAAATTTGGACCTTCCATTTTTGAAACATGGTTAGAACTGTGTAGCGGAAAAACCATATTTTAAATCCAGTAATTTATAATAATATATATATATATATATATATATATATATATATATATATATATATATTACGTCAAATGTTATTTTAGTGGATATGTGTATTTGACTAGACATTCCGGATTTTTACATAGTGTTTATTTCGTTACCGACCTTCGCAATATAAAACCATGTTGGATTTAAAAATTAAAATCCATTAATTCTTGAGAAATTGCTTTGTTTTCATTTCGGATAATAAGCTGAGCATATATGGCTCTAAGGAAGAATAAACTAACAGTTGGCTGTGTGTGTTGAAGAGACACAAATGTTCCTGAGCAGTCTTCTGCAACAGGGATCAGTTAACTGGCCAACCCGACATCTCAGTAATTAAATTGACTCGAAAGGGTCACTTCAATGTGGTGTAATTGTTGTGGTAGGATCCACCTAATTTGCATAGTGGAGTACCGACCATATAAATATGGTTGGTACCGGGAAGAGTGGGAGGAATCAAGAGATTCAATCCAGAGACTCTGCCCGACTGCGACTAAGTCAACACATTCTCCAGGAACGGTCTTCCCAAGAATATACAAAAGACAATATGTAAATATTGTGTACACTTTCTTGTTCAATACATTTTGTTCTAAGTACATTTTGTGTTGTATTATTATTCCATGCATTAGTCAAGTTTCAACAGTAATGATCAGGAAGCTTCTCACGCCGGAACAATTACAAATGTAATGTGAGTTCGATTCTCACTGAGTGCTCCATATCTTCGGCCCTGTGCCTCATCTAAGCTTCGCTTAAAAAATCACAGTAATTGAGCCGAACTTGCATATGCACGTATAAGTCGTTTAAATTTCTCCAAAGAGTTAAATGAACAAAGACATTCCGTATCTAGGTTTGTAGATTAAAAAACAGAAAAAATAAAAATAACTGTCATCACCTCGGCTAATTAGTAGCGTATGTTATTAATATGTGTGAGACAAAACATTACCATGATTTGAACCCTAATCGCCAATATCAGCGCCTGCTATGTCCCAGTCCGGCCACTAATCATGTGAAATTTTGGTTAATAATGGATGAGAAAGCACGAATAAAGAACTAGGCGCAAAAACAGATGAGAAATGGCGCGAAAAGAAATAGGAGAGGAATGTCGCCGGGGTTGGCGGGAGATGGAAGGAAATAAAAAAAAGAAAGAGAGTTTCTTTTTTTTTTTTTTTTTTTGTTTTATTGTTTTGTTTTTTTGTTTTTTTTAGAGGTAAATAAGCGACGGTCCTTAAAAGAAAAAAAGAAAGAGACGAAATGATAGGAAGAGAGAATAAAATCAATGAAGAATAAAGTCATGAAAGAAAGAAAGAAAGAAAGAAAGAAAGAAAGAAAGAAAGAAAGAAGAATACAAGTAAAAAGATTAAATAAAAGGGAAGAGAAAAATAAGAAAAAATGAGAAAGAAATAAAGACGGAAAGACAAATGAATGGAAGAAACAGATATGGAATTGCCGGAGTAAGGAATAAAAAGTTGGTTTGACAAAGAAAGAAAAAACAAAAACAAGAAACAAAGAAAGAAAAAAATTTAGAAAATGAAAGAAAGGAAGAACGAAATTATTAGAGAGCGTAGAACCGAAAGAAAGACAGAAACTTCAAATAAATCAGAAATTGCGATTGAAAGAAACAAACTATGGAAAGGAAAAGGCGAGAAAAGAAAGAAAGAAAGAAAGAAAGAAAGAAAGAAAGAAAGAAAGAAAGAAGAACATATGATATTGCCGGAGTAAGCGAAAAGGAAATATGAATGAGAAAAAGAAACAAAAATAGAAACAAACAAAGAAAAACTCGTCAAAGTAAGAAAAAAACTATGAAAGAAAGAAATTAAAAATTAAGAAAGAAAAATGTGAGAAAAGAAAGAAAGAATAAAGCAGATATAAGCCGAAAAAAAAAAGAAAGAAAGAAAAAAAAGATATGATATTGCCAGATTGTCAAAAGAAAACACGGATGAAATAATGGAAAAATCAAAAAGAAAAAAAAGAAAGAATGAATGAAAGAAATAAAGAAATTGCTTAATAAAGAAAGAAATCATCAAAAGGTAGGAAAAAAAGACAGAAATTATTGAAGTAGATAGAAAGAAAGAAAGAAAGAAAGAAAGAAAGAAAGAAAGAAAGAAAGAAAGAAAGAAATCAAACACGGGGAAAAGTGAGTAAAGATAGAAACAGTAAATCAGGATAGGAGTAAGAATAGGAAGGAAGGAAGAAAGGAAGGAAGGAAGGAAGGAAGGAAGGAAGGAAGGAAGGAAGGAAAAGGTAGAAGAAAAGGAAGATAGTTTTAAGAATAAGAAAGAAAGAAAGAAAGAAAGAAAGAAAGAAAGAAAGAAAGAAAGAAAGAAAGAAATATTCGGATAATAACAAGAAAGGCCATGTAAAGCAAAAACAAAAAACAGAAAGAAATAAAAAAGGTCGAGAAAGAAAGTGAAACAAAAAAGTATAGAATAAAAAGAAAAAAAAGCGTGTTAATAAAAAACTAATACAGGCGACAAAGAAGTAACGAAAAAGAAAGAAAAGAAGAAAAAAGCGCGTGAAAGAAAAGAAGAAAAAAGTGCGAGAAGAAAAAGGAAAGTTCGAAAAATAAAAATAAAAAATATAACAAAGGCTATAAAAAAACAAACTCTTAAGAAAAAAAGAAAGAAAGAAAAAAAGTGATGGAGACAGATGTAAAGGAAATAAAAATGTAAAAATCAATCCCAAAGACCTAAAGAGAAAAACAAGCACAGCCGATACAAGAGAAAGAAAAATGGCGGAAAAAAAAGACGAAAAATGAAAGAAAGAAAAATACAAATGCGATGAAATCAAAAGATTGAGACATAAAAACAAAAAACGAAGACAAATCGAGAATAAATAAATAAGTGAACAAAGTAGATTGTAAATCACAGTGGCGCCAAGTATTTAAAAATACATCCGGCAAAATATGGATGAAAAATGAACAGTCGCCATTTTGCTTCTATGTATGTTTTATTCTTTTTTTCTCTCCTAATATTTTCATCCGAGTCTACCAAGCAACGAATACCACCCCCGAAAAAAAAAAAAAAACAAATAAAAGGGGAAAAATTTACAAAGTAGAGACAAAGAGCAGCTTAAGAATGAAAAATATATATTTTGAACACTCGCAAACAAAACCTAAAAGACAATCGATCCTTCGACCATGCCACGAGGACGGATGTTAACAGATAAAGGCGAAAAAATGGCTGAAAAACATACAGTTAAAGATAAATAAAATTTTGTATGAAATAATAATCAGCAGTCTTTACGTGTGTTCTCTCTAACTGAAATAGAAGACTTCTTTCTAAACCCGGACATTGACAACTGCTCGTTAAGAATAAAAAAATATGAGATTGTTATTTGGTCTGTGCAAGCGTTTCAGTCTGCAAATAATTCGTCGAATTCCCATGAATGATATAAAAAGAGACCTTCGTTCACATTTCTTTGATCTATCGGCCAGACCAACTTCAAATTAAAAAAAGTTTAAGTTCAAACAGAGCACACTTTTTTATTTATTAAATTTCACTGAACGAAATTAGATTAGTTTAAGAAACTTTATAAGGATTTTCACATCAGAACTACATGATTTGTTATGATTAACAAATTATTTAATATGTTCAAAATTCTCCCCTTCATTTTCAATACAACGTTTGACCCTACCAGCATCACTTTCTTATATAGGAATAAAATGTCGCTACCGACACTTGAGTTTGAACATAGACAGCCAATGAGGCGATCCTATTATTGAATTAAGTGGGTCACGTGACCATGGAGGAAACGCATATATAGGAAGTCACGGGACGTCTGTTTCGTTATTTCTCCAGGATATGGATCAAAGAGCAGGGTAGACGGAACTTTCTAGCCTTGTGCAGCACCCAGGGTAAGGGAATAAGTATTTTTTTTAATGAAATTCAACGAAAATTAATTCTATCTTTACTAAGTGGACATGGAAATTCACATATTAAATAAAAGAAATCTGTAGAGGTATGATCTGGTTTCTCTACATAGACATGGTATTTAAAACAATGTCTTTCTATTAACCTTTAAATGGGTGAGAAAGGACTGATTACCTCCCCAGTGACAATAGTCCGAATAATGTAAATAATGTAATATTTACATTATTCAGACTATTGTCCTCATCTTTGTCGCCACATTTATTACAACGTTTCGGCCATTGTACGCTTCGGCCTTCTTTAGGTGGTTGGAATGTCGAACTGAACCCTTTATTTAGCTCACTGGGGTGGACTGTTCTAATTCCACAAGCCATATTTAATGGATGTCAGTTATCAGTTATCTCCTGTTAATTTCCCTGTGAAAGTTCTCCACTGCCTTAACCGAGTATTAAACTCACACTCTTTGGTTCCTGTCACTGGATATAACTAACGCCTTTATCCACTGTACCATGTGTCCTTGGGGACAAAGAGCGAGTTTCAATACCTGGTTAAACGTTGTAATAAATATAGCGACAAATATGAGGACAATAGTCCGAATAATGTACATAATACCTCATCTCAGAAATAGACAGATACTGAAAGGCCGAAACGTTGTAATAAATATGGCAACAAAGATGAGGACAATAGTCCGAATAATGTAAATAGTGTACATAATACCTCATCTCAGAAATAGACAGATACTGAAAGGCCGAAACGTTGTACTAAATAGTGCAACAAAGATGAGGACAATAGTCCGATTAATGTAAATAGTGTACATAATGCCTCATCTCAGAAATAGACAGATACTGAAATGCCGAAACGTTGTAATAAATATGGCGACAAAAATGAGGACAATTGTCCGAATAACGGTGATAGGAAGTCACAAAGACTATAAATAGCTAAGGCTATTACCCATGAGGCATTTGAGTGCATACGACTTCCTGTTAGTCAGTAACACTACACTAAAATGGCGTCGCTGATATCTAAAGAACCTGGCGAATAATTATCATTGGATAATTGTGAGTATTTACAAGCGTGGCTGGGGATTCTAGCAGCTAAAACTAGAACAAAAAATGATGAAGGATTTGAAATCAGTTAGGGGAGAAAACCAAATAACGGACCTCTTCTTTGAAGCCGCACGTTGTGAGGCTATTATAAAATTATCAACAATTTCAAACACAAGACAGGTGGAGGAATATTCCTATGAAAAATGGAAAAGATCACAATCTCCCATATCTAGACAATCACCTAGGGAAATGGAGAAAGTTAGTGAGAAGGCAAAAGCTCCCAGAAGTACCAAGGAAAATACAAAGATAAAGCCTCTTCGGTACAAGGAGATGACGTGACTCATTTACACAGGAATTCACACAAACTATAAATAACTACGGCTATTACCCAATGGCAGTTGAGTGCATACTACTTTCTGTGATTCAGTAACACTACACTACCATATTCAATTTAGTTATTATTGTTACCAAAATTACTCAAATTAGGTTCTGTTCGTTGTTTGCGATTACGTAGCAGGTGTCTATTCGCTTCAAGGTCCTCGCTAAGACTTTCAACCTTCATTTGCTCAAAATCATTTTCAACCATTGATTTGAGAATGCGTTTCCATGCAAATGACAGTTTAGATATTTCTGTATGAATTTGGAGCCATCCATGACATTAATACGTAACTCTAGTTAAGAACATTACCAGTTTTTAGGTCCTTCTTCTATGGCTCTCTACGTTTTCCTATCATTTTTAGCTCTTAATAAATTTGTTCTTCTGTTTATCTCTTCTAAATATTATCCTGTCATCCATTTACTAAAATTCGCTAGATTGGTTATGCATTGTTTTCCTCTGTCCATTTTGCTCTCAATCTGGCCTGTGAGTGTCAAATTTACTAAACCCTCTTTCCTCATTATGTGCTTTACAAACTGTATCTTCCTGATGTTAAGAAGAGACGGTTTTGTTTTCATTGTGTCTAAAAATTCAACGTTGCTCAAATATTCGATCCATAGTATCCTCAACATCCTGCTGTAGAGCCACATATCAGCTGCTTGAAGTTTCTTCTTTATCTGTAAGAAAATTGTGCAGCATTAACTGGCATATAGGAGGACTGATATTACGTAATATTTTAATACTTTTCTCTTTGTTTCTAGCGAAATTTTCCTGTTTCTTAATACTTTGCTTAGGTTTTGGAAGGCATGATTGCTATATTAGGGCCTGGCTCTCCAGCTTTTTCAAGAGTGCAAAAGTGGACAGCTAAATTTTTGGTGGGTCTTTATTATAATGCGTGCTTCGTAGCGATTATAGTATAAGTAATACTTCGAAAATTTTCCCTGACGCCTGTATTAATTAGTCTGAACAACAGCTTCTATTTCTTACTTCTGACCTGAACATCTTTATTTATAGTTATAGACTAGTTCATATAGTTACTGGGGCTGTACTATTTACACCACAACATCCCCGGTATTGAGATTAATATTTTTTTATAAATATTTTATTTTTTTATTAGTATTACTATTTCCTCTCCTTTTTTATGGAGAGTTAGCCGTCGTACTTGACTTTCTAGCGTTTCCGTCTCATATCTACTTCTAGTTCTTCAGTACGCTTTCTTTTTCTGGAACATTTTTTTTGTAGTTTTTCACGACTTGTTGTAGTGATGGCACATCGAAAACATTATATAGCATTTTTATTGGTTCGTCAAATGTTTGAAGTCTTTCAACGATGAACCTTTTTCAGTCTTCCATTTTGCCATGTAAATCAACTTCCCGGTTCTAACTGTTATTATGCCGTCTTCCTAAGTTTCCTTGCTTTTCTCATATATTTTAAAGGACCCTTTATCGCCGACTTAGAAACTTTTGGTATCGTTTTTGTATTCCGTTCGTATTTATCAACTTAGTAATAATGTGTCGAACACCGAATTTACTTTTGTAGGAAACATTAATTCCGCCGGCAACATGCCTGATGGTGTATTGGTGTTAGGTGTTACACGGTAAACTCCCAGAAAATTCTGAGGTGCTTCCTCATTTATGTCCTCAAGACTTCCTTTCTTCAACTCTCTTTTGTACGTTCCCACAAACCATTCCGCTTGTCCGTTCAACCTTGGGTGCTACGGCGGGAACGTAATATGCTCAATGGAGAAAGTCTTCGAATTATTTACGCGGGAATTGCGTTCCGTTATCAGAGATTATGTGTTTTCTTCAGAATTATATCCAACAACTCCTGTTGCTGGTTTTGTAGTTCTAGCAAATGTTGATTTTGTTGTTATTGCTGTTTTTGCTGTTTTTGTTAAATTTCAAGTCTCGAAGGCAAAATTTGCTCAATATTTCTGAGAATATCTTTTTGTTCTACACCCAAGAGAAAAATTTGTTTTCTTCTACACAAGAAGGAATTTTTTTATTTTTTGAAAAGCACGTGGTTTAAATTTCCGTCACCTGCATCCTTGTTCCCGAAGCAACACGTATGCTTTTCCGTACTTGTTCACTAAGAGTTTCCAAAATAGCTGTAACTGCCGTTACAACTTGCATGAGTTCTTGAATTCTTTTTACCGTTATAAGTCGTAAGAGTTCCCAATCCTCGTCACAACGGCTATAAATCGCCCGAATTTCGAATCCCTCGTCGGAACTGTTATAATGATTCGGAAACTTTCGGTGATGTCTTTATTAATTGGTGTAAAGTCTAACTACAACCGGCTTACCCAACCTACCCACAAGGCAGGATGTAGTACAAGT